GCTTCAGCCGGTGGAGTGGCCCTGCGAGCGCAACCAGGTGAAGACTTGCAAGATCAGGAGTGAGGATGTGGGGAGGCCCAGCCCTGTAGGGACAGCCCCGAGGCATCGTTGCTAAGGGCCTGGGTAACAGAATCCTGCCTGGTGGACTTGACAGAGTTATTTGTGGCTGCTGTGTCTGGAGGTGTGGCAGAACTTGGTTTGAGAATTATGGGGAAGTAGCCAATTCTCATCAAATCCTATGTACTGGCAGCTCTGGAGTCTACAAAGAGAACCCAAGTTGTGTGGTAGGACCCAAGTGGCCTAAGTAAACAAGCCCACAGCCCCCAAGCAGCAATCTCAGAGAGGGGGCGGGGGGCAGGGATTGAGTATTTGGGTGTCTTCGAAAGGAGAAGGTAGATTTGGGCATAATCGCCCCTGGCAATTCTAGGTTGTAGACATCTGAATTGTCATCACTGACTACGCCCCGCTGTCTAATTCTAGGAAAGGGGTTTAAAATTCTGTATACCCCAGGTAGGGGAGGTATCTACACTTTAAGCAAAACCCTTAAATATCCAGATGAGAACATTTTCCCACCAGGACCACCAAGCACTGGTCTGATTGGGAGGCATCATTATTATGTATAATTTAAAAAGCACATATCTGTCGACCTCCATGGCGGCCTGCCCCTTATAACACAGAACTGAGAAGCTGTGACACAGACCACGTGGCTAGTAAAGCCTAAAATATTTATCATCTGGGCCTTTACAGCAAAAGTGTGCTGACCCTGATTTGCAATAAAGGAAGGTGTGAACAGCTAAATACCTATCGACAAGAGAGCAGTTTTAATGGAAGAGAAGTGTTCACAATATATATTAAGTAGGGGAAAAAGGGTAGAAATATGTATAATTAAATATATGTGTATTATAATGAGGAATCATGTTATATTAAAGTATTATTTGTGATTATCTAGAGAAATCAGGTCAATTTTAAGTACACAGTTATATGTATTTCTAACAGACAGTTCTACGATAAAATGTATTATGAGTGTCATTAAAGTAATTAATCAGGGAGAAATCTGACTTCTGAATTGCTGTTAATGGCTTTGGAAACCTAACACTGAGGTTTTCATTCTGAGCACAGAATCCCCAGCCGAGAAGCGGTGATTAAGAAACATCAGACATCCTTGCAAATGTTACTATCGTGGAAGACTGAGTAGCAGGAAGGCAGCTGTATCGGCGCCTCCCATGGACATAACGTGGGCAGAGCTGCAGTGTCCACGGATGAACTCGGGGAAAACAAACCAACCACAGCTGGACTTTTAAAAGGTGGCACAACGTGGAAGGAAAGAATCGTGACGCTGCCCACGGCATCCTCTCCCTACTCTCTCTCCGCCCCTTTCAGAAGAAGCAAGGAGGCATTTTTCTTTCCTAGAAGGACCTGGACTTGGTCTTTTCTATAAGAACCCAACTAGCAAGCTCACAACTGTGGCTGACGTGTGGGGTGGGGAGAGGTCTGTCCGGCTGGCCCAGCTGTGCATGTGGTAGCCTATGGTAGAGGCTATGGTAGAGGAGACACCGGGGGACAGAAGGGCTTAAGCACCACACAGCTCCTCCTTGAACTTGACAAACAACAGAAGAAATGCTTCTCAGTAAGTCCTTAGAAACAGGAAAATAGGGTTTCTATTTTCCATGGAAGGGCCCTGCGGTGGCTGCTGGTACTGTTACAGCTCACCCACCCTTTATTCACATCAATACCCCTCCACAGCGGGCGGGTGGTGGCAATAACATGTGACATTAAATACCTGGATCTGTCCTTTGCTTTTCTCCTTTTCTAGTCTTCCACCCCAAATTCTCAATCCTCGAGAAAAGAAATAAAATAAAATTACCACTGAAGTAATTCTGAACACGGAGTTTCTGTTTAATCTGCACTCAAAGAAAACCACATGACAGGCTAAAGAAAAGCATAATATTAAAACCAAGCCGTATTTCTGATCATCTGCTGCTCTTCATCTTTGTGAAGTTCATAAGAACCCAACTAGCAAGCTCACAACTGTGGCTGACGTGTGGGGCGGGGAGAGGCCTGGCCCAGCTGTGCATGTGGGGGTCCAGTTGTCAGAATCCCTCAGCCTATGGTAGAGGAGACACCAGGGGACAGAAGAGCTTAAGCACCACACAGCTCCTCTTTGAACTTGACAAGCAACAGAAGAAATGCTTCTCAGTAAGTCCTTAAAAACAGGAAAATAGGGTTTCTATTTTCCATGGAAGGGCCCTGCGGTGGCTGCTGGTACTGTTACAGCTCACCCACCCTTTATTCACATCAATACCCCTCCACAGCGGGCGGGTGGTGGCAATAACATGTGACATTAAATACCTGGATCTGTCCTTTGCTTTTCTCCTTTTCTAGTCTTCCACCCCAAATTCTCAATCCTCGAGAAAAGAAATGAAATAAAATTACCACTTAAGTAATTCTGAATATGGAGTTTCTGTTTAATCTGCACTCAAAGAAAACCAAATGACAGGCTAAAAAAAAGCATAATATTAAAACCAAGCCATATTTCTGATCATCTGTTGCTCTTCATCTTTGTGAAGTTGAAAGTTTTCTTTTTTTAAAACCAAGATTAGACAAATATTTGCCGTTAATGAAAATCTCTACCTAGTGTCAGGAACCCCAGGAATCAGCGTTTTAACAAGCTCTCCAGATGGTCTTCTGCATGCTAACGTGCGACTGCTATCAAGGTGTTTAGGTGCTTCAACTGCTGTTCTCATCAAAATGGGAATCGGAAATGAGTCTTTGCTGGTGAAATTAGTGGTATTGGAGATACATGAACTGGCAAAATATTCCAGGCACGGCCCATTCTTACTGAAGCCTGTAGGAATGATTCCTACAGAGCCCTGTGTCCTGCCCAGGATACCTTACCTTCTGCTTGTGCCAACTTTCACCCAAGGTGTGGCTGGGAAGGTAAAGATAGAGGACTTCCTTTAAGAGCAGGTCTTGTGAACCTTTTTTGCCTGTCTTACCCAACACATGGCAGAACTGGATCTGAGGTTGGCTTTCATTAGTAAGAACGAGTTGGTAAGGCTGAATGGGAGGAACTGACATCACCCAGTGCAAATTTCCTCAGCTATTTACCAAAGAGAACCCATGAAAAGTAAGTTTGCAACACCAACTATTAAACAGTTAACCGTAAATACTGAGAAGGGGGAGGCGGGGATTCCGTACCCTGGGGCGTCTCGTAGGTCAGCGTGGACATTTGCACCACCGGGGCATCCTCGAAGGGTTGGTTGTACTGCAGGAGAGCAAGGGGCATCACGTCGGGTCCGAGGGAGCCAGGAGCCCCTGACCTGGGCGGAGGAGAG